CCCCACAACCTGCAGATGGACTGGCTCAGTGGAATCATGGGAGCCGGAGAATCAAAGCTGCATGAGCCACGGAGAAGAGCTGGACCCTGTGCAGAGCAATGCAGCACTGTTAACGCCCACATTAGCTCACCTGCCTTTGCAGCCTGAGGTATTTTTCTAGCCATCTGGACTGGCTCTCCTTTCCTAATGCCACTTCCAATCCTCTTTAAGTCCCTCAGCAGAAAATCTCAGAGATGACCCCTGGGCATCTTAATGACTGGGCCAGCTGGGGAGCACTCCTGGAGAATATCCAAATGATGATAGCCAGGCTTCATTCGCCCCAAAGTTTCTCAATGTCTCATGGGACAGGAGCTGGCCAGGTAATTGAAGTGCATCTGGGGACATATTTTGAATTCTTCTCTCTATTCTTATGGCTGGCAGGGTGTTACTGAGCAGGTGAACTGGTTTCATCACTTGACTGAGAAATGGTTGAAAAAATCTGTCGGGTTGTAAGAAAGAGCCCATTGAAAAATGTGTTCTAGGGCTGGAGAGATGGCCCTGTGGTTAAGAGTGCCTGCTGCTCTTGCAGAGAACAAAAGTTCCGCTCCCAGCACCCACATTGGCTGACTCAACTGCCTTTAACTGCAGCCTCAGGGGATCCAGCACCCTCTTCTGGTGTCAATGGTCACTACACTCATACATGCACATACTCTCTGCCCCATACACACGTAACTTGAAATAAGATAAATATTTTTAAGTGAGTTCTAGCTTCATCCAAAGAACTGGCCAGTGGAGAGCTAGGAGGACAGCCACTGTATGTCTCCCATCACTGCTTACCGTGGAGGGAAAGGATTGGCATCTTTCTGTAGGGAAGTTGGAGGACTGTACAGTATGACCTCCTATTGTGCCCAAGTAGTTTGCAGAGAAGCTCTCAGAACTAAGCACAGTGGACTTGGGTGGGCCTGCTGGCTTGCCCCACAGCTTGGCTCAAAAGAGCAGCATGCTACTGCTGACAGCCATGAGCCACTGTCTACACAAACACAGTCTCGTCCCAAACAGAAGAAGGCAGCTAATTCTCAAGACAAGGGTGAATTATCATGGCCTGGGAACATGGATTTGGGTTACTCCCAAAACCACTGCCCCATGTGACAGCAGTGTCATGAAGTTTTTATAGGAACAGAACAAAGAAAGTCATAAATACATATTTCCTGGGTTTTTGCCATGTGCATGTGCACACTTGTAGAGACGGCACATGTGGGTGGGGGTCCATGTGGGCATGTCATGTCTATAGATGTCAGTGGACAACCTCAGGTACTGGTCTTCGGACACCTTCTACTTTCTGTTTGAAACACGGTTTCTTTTTGACCTGGAACTTTGCCATGTAATCCAGGCTAGCTGGTCCCAGAGATCTGACCACCTCTGCCTTCCATCTCACCATCTCTAGGATTACAGACGCATACCACCCCACCAAGGTTTGTATGTGGTTCTGGGGTTCTCAGAGCTTCATGCCTACACAACATGTACCTTACCAACTGAGCCACCTCCCCAGTCACGGCTTTGTTTTAAATACATCGGTGGGGGCATCAGGTAGGTGGTTACAGTAAAACAGAAACCTCTGCTATAGGCCTCAGATGGGTAACGGATGACACTCTTGGCTTAGGATTTGTGGGAGTTAAAGGTCCAGTATGTGCATTCTAAAAAGGTTTTGCCTGACAGTCACAGCATGGTAGTGCACACGTAAGGGTGGTTGACAATATCTCAGGAGGCTTAAAACTATCCAAAGTAATTTGACTTTAGACCTGCAGCATTCCAGCTCACCATAATCACAATCATTCTAATCAGTCAATCAACTAGGTAGAATCTTTTTAACACAAGTGTGGCTTTTTCCTGAGGACTTCCAATCCCTGCCATATTGCCAGATGCATCATCAAGCTGTTCCAGCATATTTTACATTGCTTTCCCAACAAGGACTCCTCAGAGAGCCATTTTCCTCCACCCTGTTTCACTTACTGCAGGACAGTCCTTCTGAACTTAAGGGAACTGGTTCCAGGGTCAATCTCCCTCCCAACTAGGAACACCAATATCTATGGGTGCTCAAGTGTCTTAATTCACATATAACCTATGCATGCCCTTTTGCATTCTTTGAGTCTAAATGAATTGTAACACTATATAACACAATACACATACTATATAAATAATCACATTGTAGGGCTTAGGGAGTAAAGACAAAATTAAGGTTTGCCCAGGTCCAGCACTGATATGACATTTCAAACACTTTCTTCATGGTTGGTTGACTCCATGAATATAAAACCTACAGTTATAAAGGGGCCATTGCACAAAGCTGTGGCTCAAAATCCTTAGGTCTGAATGTGTGGATGATAACTCTGCTGGTTAGCTTCTGTCAAGGTGACACAAACTAAAGCCACCAGGGAAGAGGGGACTTCAGAATTGTAACCATCAGATAAGTCTATGGGCATGTCTGTGATGCATTTTCTTGATTATGATCAATTTGGGAGGATCCAGGCCCCTGTGAGCAGTGCCACCCCTAGGCAGGTGGTCCTGGGCTGTCTAAGCAAGCAGGCTGAGCAAGCCATGGAGAACAAGCCAGTAAGCAGCATTCCTCCATGGTCTCTGTTTTGGTTCCTGCCTCTGGGTTCCTGCCTTGTGTTCTTGCCCTGACTTCCATCAGTGAGGGACTGTGATGTGGAAGTGTATGTCAGGGAAATCTGTTCCTCCCCTTAGTTGGAGTTGGTCATGGTGCTCATCACAACAACAGAGATGCAAAGTAAGACAACAACTAACCCTGTGGACAAGATTTCATTCAACAAGTGACTGCTGGAGGCAGCCCGGCTGTCCTCAGCTTTGGGGGTTGCGGGCAGAGTCAGTGCAGAGAAGCAGTCAGGCCACCTGCTGACCTGTGCTGGATCGTGCTTGGCATCAGTCTAGTGGCCTTCAACTCCACACATTGCTCAGGATCTGAATGAACAGACTCCAGTTGTGATGAGCTATGCAAGCAGCAAAGGCCTGGTGTTGTCTCCTTGTGAACATTAGAATTCAGCAGAGCAGGAAAGTTTGAGATGGATTAAAATATAAAATGAGGACTATGTGATGACAGTCTCTGTGGAGAATGGCCAAGAACCAGAGCGCTACCAACTCCATTCAAATGAATAACTTTAACGGAAGCCTGGTCAGTATAACTATTTTTTTTTTTTTTTGACCAAAGGGGCCCTATAGTTCATTTGGAAAAGAAAAACACATTGTAACAGGCACAGCACTAAATGATAGAAATGACAATCATTATAGCAGGTCTTCGTGCTACAGAAGGATCCTTGGCTTTCTTTTGGGCTCTCATTACCTTAAGAAGCCTGTAGATAAAGGGGCTTTGTCCTTGGCGCCACCAGAACACAGTGATTCTGGAAGAGACTTCCTATGTACTACATTTGAATTCTAAAACCAGCTTCTAGACTTTTCCTGTATTTTCAGACAACTTCCTCTCTACCTTCAGACTAGACAGCTTGCTGTAATTCTTGGAATGTCAACACTTACTATGAACTTAACTCGGGTTCCTGTTTATTCTAATCAAGTGCTGGGTCTATGGAGCTGTGAGTCTATCACGAAGCCAGAAATAATGCAATCAGTGTTGTGTTGTTTTTATCAACTATCTACCACTGCTAGTTGAAGGGCCACCTCTTTCAATCACCTGCCCCTTCTTCCATTCATGATGATTAGGCACAATTAGTAAGATATCAGTCTTCACGCAGCTAAACAAACTAAGGTTTGGGCTCTTTTCTTGTCTCACCTCCAATGGCACTGCCCTACACATTAAGCCAGTTAGTCCCAAAGGGATTATTAATTTATTTATCATGGATTGATTGATTGACAGGAGACAGAGTCTTATTATGCAGCCCTGATATCCCTGGCTGGCATGGAACTTGCTACGTAGACCATGCTGTACTCAAATTCAGAGATCCACCTGCCTCTGTCTCTGGAGTGTTAGAATTAATGGCATGTACCACTACATCACACCCCATAGGCATGAATAACAAAACTAACCCTACATCTCAACTTGAATCATCCCTGATGACTGCCCTTCTGTGGTCCCAGTTCCTTCCCAGTGAATCCCCAATTCTATCATTCTTTGGTCCCACTGGGATCAACCACATTTGACATGCACCATCCCTTTCTCTTCCTTTTCCTCCTTAGCAGTGGTCCCTTGCTACAACTACCCTCAGGCATGTACTTCCACACATGCCCAGCTAACGTCAGCTCTCCATCTAAGCTACATCTATCTCTAAGGAGATGAATAACAGGCTTGAGGAAAACATTGCTGGGATGTCAGGCCTGACTTGAAATCTCTCTGGGCTGCATGGTGATTCTACAAGATCCCCCTCAGAAGGGGAGCCTCCCATTGCCAAAGGTGCCTGTTCCGTGTATCCTGTGTCTTCAAGTCTCCAAAGCTCCCTCCCGCCCTCTGATGGGTTACATTTCTTAGGTTGCTGAAAAATGGAAGGAAAACACCATCTACTCCCATGCACCAGTGCCCCCATATCTGTGCCACCCCCTCTGCCTCCCATCTACCACACAATGGATGTTCTTAACTCCTTGCATATCTCTGGCCTCTCAGCAATGCTGCCCCTAAGTTCTCGAGGCCATCAGTTTCTCTCGTTCCTGTGGATTGGTTCTATGAGCATCCTCCTTCTACAGTCACCTTCTTAAAGTGTCCTTCCATCAATGTCACAGCCTGTCATTGCTCTATTCTTCCAGTCTGCTTACAAGAAAAGCTCCTTGGTAGATCTATTTTCACCAGCTTCACTTTCAAATCTTTAATTCTCTCTTTGACCCACTCTAACCAGCTCTTCGTCTCCACCACTCTACCAAGGATGCTCTGGCCAGGGTCACCACTGTTCTCCTTCCATTCAGCCTAACCCAGAGACCATTCCCCAGACCTCATCATGCATATCCTCTCAGCCCTGCACATGTCTACCAATCCTTCTGCCAGCCAACTCTAAACATACCTCATGTGGCTCCCATGAAACTAGTTTCTCCTGACATTCGGACATCCTCCCAGGCCACTCTCCTGTTTGCTCTGCTGGAATCTTCTTATTTCTTCCCTCTCTACCTGTATCCCCCAGGTGGCAGACACTGACTTATTGAATCTCTTAAACACGCCAGCCATCTCTCAGGTCTGGCTGAGGGAACTGTGCGATAAAGCTAAGGAAGCCCACTAGTGGGTCTGTTCAGCCATGCAGTCTCAATCCCACCAAGTAAGCCCGGAGCATTTCTCCCTATGGTCTTGCATCATCTGAGTCTCCTCCTTCTGCCCATGCACACAGCAGGTGACTGGACGTGAGAGGAAAATGTCAGTGTGCAAAGCTGGCAACCAGCCCCACCTCCTTCAACAGCCCTCCTTTCTTCCTCAGTGACGACAGTCGACTTGGCAGCTGGAATTTTCTGTCTAGGTAACGTCTTATTTGCATGCTGAAACCATGTCCCTTTTCCTATTACGATGTAAAAGATTGCTTATTTCTAATTATATTGCAGGCACTCAGGGAATTCAAAGAGCAGAAAATATGTCAGGCACAATTTACAAATTGTGGCTATTTGTGTAGGCGCTTGCCCAGATTACTGCAAATATAGAATCGGGGAGGGGAAAAGACTAGTCATTAAAAACACCAGCCTGCTGAGCAGAACCATGACTCCATTTGTTAGCCCCCTATTCGCTAAACACAAAGCTAAACACGAAATGCAAGTTTGCTCTGGTACCCATGATGTTTCCCTATCTCTTGATTTCTGAGTGGGAGTTTAGAGACGAAACTTTCCCCAGTTGCTCCCAGCCTGCCTTGGAAACTCCATTTCCCTCACACTCAGATCACTGTTTCTAAAAAAGGAAAAAAATTTTTTTTATTCCCAGAAATATTTCAGGAGCTGGAAAATTCTTCCCCAAATCCTACTAATCAGGACCAAATATTCTAAGGACCTGGGAATGAAGCCAGTACATCAGATGGGGACCTTGCTTATCATCTTAGTGTTACTGGAGTGCTTAGGGTCAGAGCCTGAGCCCATGAAACCCATAACAAGGCAGGCTTAGCTTCCTTCCCATCCTCATAAGGCAGTTAATCAAAAAAGTAATAGTTGAAGGCTGAAATGGGAGATTTATTCAACTGGCCACATTGGGAAGAATTACAAAGAGGTCCAGTAACCACCCCCGACTCCCAAGTCCACCTTTGGGGCACTAACTGGAGGTGTAAGTTTACATGGATGGCAAGAGGTGTGCCTAACTAAGCAGTGAGGTCTAGGTGTGGTCCTGTCCATCACCCATCACCGTCTTGGCTTGAGTCTCATCCTATAAGATGGTCTGACAAGTTGTCAGAACTGTGTGACATCTCTTTTCAGGAAACAAGCTCCCCTTTCCTTCTCCTAGCATGAGACTCCTGGGGGAGTTACAATTTCTGGGGGTCCACTGTTTTAACATAACCAAAGAGTAAGAGAGAGAAGTCTCTGCAGAATATCTTCATTTCTACCAGGATGGTTACATTGGACCCTAACTAAGTCTAAACTTCTGTTTCCTACATTTTAAATGCTACTAAATTATAAGGAATGCACAGGTCTAAAGTTTATTAACTGTGTGTTTGGGTACTTGGCCACAGCACTGAGAGCCACGCAGAACTCTGTGTGCTTTCAACCCACAAACCCTTAATGAATCTAAAGGAAGTCATATAATAGAGCCCCAATATCTTGGATCAACACATGACCCAAGGTTGGGAGTTAATGGACACTTACATGTGACAGCTCTGACTGATGACCAAGCCTTTCGGAACCTTCTTTGCTCTAAATAAAGATATTTCTAAGCATGTATGAACTTTTCAGAGTCCACGCAACAGCAGCATTTTGCCTACTACATCAGCCCTAAGATCATTTCCCTCAAAGTCAGTATCACCTGTGAGGGACAGATTGTAGAGACATGATACTATAGTAATTAAGCATGTTGATCAGGATGAGCCCCAGCAGTCAAACAAAATTTTAATAACCTTTTATACCACCCAAATACACAATGACTCTGTTATGGAGCAAATATCTGTTCTTCCTACTGAAAAGGAGAGCATTCTCCAACACAGCACATGTATTTTTAAGACACAGCTATGGATACAACACCCAAATGCTGACTGGTAATGATGAGCTAACTCCCTCCCATAGGCATCTGTGAAACAGTGTGTAAGATGCATCAGTTGGAGGTGTTCCTTTTGCTCATTTACACATCTCACACAGCCATTCTCCAGTCTCAGCATCTTGGATGCTAGTGTTGCTCCCCCGACAAGAGACCTTTCTGTTATTGAATGACATTTCAACAGCACATAATTTCTGCTCCCTCCTAAGTTATTTAAGATTCCACTCCTTCATAACCCACCTGTAACACTGTCACTTGTCATTTTATCCTGAGCCACAAAGATTCATTTCCATGGTACTGGGGTCGTTTTTCATTTTGTTTTCATTTATCTTGCAGGAGCAGATTTGATTTGTACTGGGGAGCCGTGTGCTGTATTGATCAGCATGGCTTGGGTGTCATGTGAGGGACAATGGACTCTGACCCGGTGAAAAGATGGAACAAATGAATATACAGAGTTAGGTGGGTGAGAGATGATGGAGCCCAGAGGCAGGGAAGGGCAGGGAAGGTGGGGCGGGGGGGGGGGGGGTGCACAGACAGACGGTCCCGGTGAGGTACAATGTGGGACTCAGCAGTCACAGTAGGCAGAGATTTGAGAAGCATTTGTGAAGCAGAATCAGCAGAGCCTGGTAAACGAAGTGGATTTGAGGGTTAGAGAAAAGGAAGCGAGATAAACGATGCTGAGGCTTCAGGCTGGAGAGGCCAAGTAAATTTGGTTCCATTAAATTCTTCCTGATATGAGCAATAAAAGAGATAGAGAAGGCAGAGATTGGAGGGAAAAGCAGATCTATCGGTATACTTCATTTTAGAACCACTGAATATAAATGGCTGCTGGACAAATGAATAAAGAGATTCAGAAAGAGTAGGGATGTTTGGTTCTGACATTCACAGAGAAAGCTTGGCTGGACAATTGACTCGGAAGCCTCAGCCCCGAGGTTCTAAGAGGTACAATGAGCATGAGTGAGATATCCAGGAGAGAATGGAGTAAAAAGTGAAAAGCTGATGAAATGATGGAGGATGTGGGGAAGGGGGGGTCTGCTAAGTAAACAGTCAATTAAGGAAGAAGAAGCCCCAAAAGATACTGGCAAGATATTGCCAGATAGGAAGGAAAAGGACAGCGAATCACTGCAGATGCCCTTGGCATGTCGACATGGAGCTAGGGGAGAGCAGAGAGAGTCCTCTCCTGTCATAAGTTTCAAAGGGAAAGAAAAGGAGACAGCAGGAAGATGAAGGCTAAGAGGGGAGCTCAACAAGTCTGTCAAATCTCTGAAAAATCATCTAGAAGAGACGAGAAGGAGCTGCTGAGTCCCGAGAGCCTGGAGAGCAGAGCCCTGACTCTATAGTGGTGCTGACCCCTCGTGGGGCATAGTATTTCTCAACAAGCATTGGGAGCTCCAGTAAAGAAAGAGAGAAGTAGAGTGTAGGGATGACCCAATGCTGACGTCAAAAGACCGAATGTGAAGAAAGGGAAGGTTCTGGAAGAGAAGACTCTGGAAGATGAAGGGAGGACAGGAAAAACCAATGAAAGGAAAGAAAATGTCTAAGACAGAGGAAGAGAAGTAGCAAGAGCCACGGAAAGACTGGGCACTAAGGGCAGAGAATTCGACATTAAAGTTTAAGTCTGCACTGAGAAGGGGACTCAAGAGTGACCACAGGCAAGGACATCAGAAACTGCCCCCATGGAGCTATCAGCGCCGACGAGACTACTCTGTGTTCCTCACATTCTGCTTCCTCTTCCTCCAGAGCTCTTCCCAGGATTCCCTGTAAGTGAGGTGAGCCATGTGACTCCAATACAGCCAATAGAAATGTGAGCAAAAGAGAGAGCTAGCAGATGCTTCTAGACTTCGTGTCTGAATCTCACTGAAGTCCTCCTGGCTCCCCCTCTTCCCTTGTCTACAGTCAAACCGCAGAGGACCTAAGAGAACTCCACGATCCCAGGACCCACCAGCTGACAGGACTCAAAGGGCCTGGATGGCATAAGGTACATGGACCAGAGTCCCGTCCTCCCCCGCCCTGAGTTAGTCCACAAGATGCTATGTGTAAGGTATGAGACTTCACTGAGGAGTTGAGCAGGCCTTTATTACAACAGCCGCCTAGCGAATAAGGCGAGTGTTCCAGCCCGACACAGGAGTTTAAAGAAGGCTTCAACCGAGAGCAAAAATAAGAATACTGTGAACCGTGCTTCTGGCCCCGAGCTGGCCTGAGTAGCCGGGAGAAGAAACAGCTCCCACATGATCTGGAGAGTGGTGTCCTAGCTACAGATGTGGGCATAGGACCCAGGTAACTGAGAAGCTCTACCAGTGGAGACGAAGACTCGGTCGAAGGCATGTGTTCCAGGTGGATCTGGAAGGGAAGGAATGGATGAGGCGGGGGAGAGAACTAAGGACAGGAGGGCTAGGGCAGAGCAGGAAGGACTGGACCAGAGCTGTGGTTTGGGATTCTGGTGAATATGTAGCAGTGTCTGAGGCAGTGAGTGCCAGGGAAGAAGTGAAGAGCTCTCGAAGGCTAACATCTGCTGGGCTCTGTGACAGGTGTTGCAGAGGGGCTTGGCTCCTTTAGAGAGCCAAACTACTGGGCTGACCAATCGCTAGAAGATGCCGGCTTTCCTTGGGCCACACGTCCGTATGTGCACACACTCACATATAGGGCACACACACGCACACAGGGCACACACACGTGCAAACACACATGGCATACACGTGTGTGCACATGTACACCTGGTATGCCTGGGGTTCACACCACTCCTACCTGCATCCCCTGTAACCTTAACTTAAGGCCTGATATTTTGCTGTTCTTCAATCTAGAAGGTTCTCTCTTTGCTCTCTCCTAGCACTTCAGGATTCTAGTCTCTGCTCTAGGCGCTTCACAAAAGTCTTCTCAGGAGCTGGGCAATGGCCCAGTGGACAAAGTGATTACCAGGCAGGAGTGAGGACTCAAGTTTTGATCCCCGACACCCACATAAATGCCAGGAGACATGGCAACCTTCCTGTAATTCCGCTACTTGGGGGGCTGTCAGGGGAAAAAAGTGGCTATCTAGACTAGTCAAAGAGGTAGGTCTGGGGTTCAATTGAGAGACCCTGCCTTGATAAATAAAGGGGAGAGCAATCAAGGAAGATAGCCAGAGTTGACCTCAGACCTCCAAATGCACACTCCTATGCACACACATACCCCACCACCACCACCACCGAAAACCACTCCTCTCAAAACTCTCAAAACTCTCAAAAAATAGGGACTTCCTGGTCCCTATCTCCGGCCATACCTGACTGACTTTCTCTTTTCAGTCCCTCCCTACTTGGCATTGTTATGCGAACTGATGTAGACACACATACACCTCTACCTATCAACACACATCATGATCATATCACTCCTAAACTTGCATGGGTGTCTTTGAAATCACTTTACCTGTCTCCCCACTAGCTCGTGAGTCTGGGACTCTGCTGTTCTCTTCTGTGTGACTGCTTCCATAGGTCCAGCAGGGAGTCCGACACATAGCAGATGCTCCTAAGGACTTTCTGAACGGAGCTGGGGTGCAGCTTAGTGGTGGAGCATGCTTGCCTATCATTCCTGATGGCCTGGATTGAATCTTCAGCAGTGCAAAGAAAAAGGCGATCAACAGAGAGCCAGGAGTCTCGAGTCTTCACGAGTTGTGCACAGGATGGGAAGGGCCTCTGTGGAAGTGGGGGGCACACACTCCTGTCTCTTACTATAGAATTGGGAGTAGGGACAGAAGTGATGGAAAACGGCTTCACCTCTGAAGAGTCTCAGGGAGGAGAAAAAGAAAAGAGATAATTCTCTTTCCTGGGTAGGAAAAAGAATGAGGAGAAATAGATTAAATAATATTGTGTGGTTCGTTCCAGATTGGGGAGTCTATTTCCCCACTGATTTGGCATTATTCTTTTTCCTATCTTTTCTAAGTGAGCTACAGAGTAAATTGAATCTCTAGACTTCAGGGCTAAAAGATGCTATCAATTTCTACAGATTCTGGGCAAGGCGGCACGGCACAGAAACAATTGGTTTACAACCCATCCGTTTTGCTGGACTACCCAGCTTCGGCAGTCACGAAGTGCTCCGTGAGGTGCCATCCGGAGCACAGACTGGCCACTCAACTCCTTCCTATGACGAGCGGATGGGCTGCATCAAAAGGCCAAATGGAAGATACAGAGAGAGGCCAGTGAATGTGGCTTGTCATTCGTTGATAGCATTGATGTATTTTACAGGGTGGCTTCTCCGAGAGACAACCATGTTTAATTGATGACTGGGAAATGAGGGAGGTCTTCATAATGGTAGCTGTGACTCTGATTTCAATTGCAGTGCCAGTCGGAATGAGGACTAATACTTCCCTGTCAAAGCAATTATCATATGAAGTTTAAAAAAAATAATACCCCCTGTCCATCTCCAACCAAAAGAAGAAGAAGGAAGAGGAGAGGGAGGAGAAAGAAGCCTGATACTATTGAATAAAACTATGGGGACCACAGAAGCTCAAAACAGAACTAATTCTTTGGACACCTATATAGTACAATATGTTCTTTAAATGTGGTTCCTGCTACATAACCTGAGAACCTAATGTTGGAAGACTAATGGGTAAAATTTGGAGGGGGCAGAGCTTTAATTGCTATAAAAATCCAAAATGCATAACAAAGTGTTATGGTTTAAATATGAAATGTGTCCCCCATGTGTTTAACATTGTTCCTCAGCTGTGGCACAGTTTTGGAGGCAGTGGGACCTTTAAGAGGTAGGGCCTCCCAGGAAGGAGTGGGTCACTGTGGTGGGCCTTGAGGGTGTTAGTCCCAGGCCTACTTCCAGTGGAGATCTGTGCTCACTGAATGCCACTAGGATGTGATCAGATGCCATATAGATCATACACCCTGAACCGGGACCCTAAATAACTCCTTTCCTTGTATTGTTCCTGTCTGGTGTCCTGCCACAGTGAGAGAAGTAGGAATTAATATGCCATGGTTAGAAAGTGGTAGATTAAAACACATCCGGGAGGACCTGGGGACATTGAGGGGTGTGGCTCGGTGGTACAGCACTTGGTCAGCATGTGCAAGGCCCCTGGGTTCCATCTATGCTATAGCACTAGGAAGAGGAGGCTCTGAGACATGCATAAGGCTAGGAATACCACTATTGGACAGAGAAAGAGTTAGAAATTCCCTTGGGCTACACCAAGGCACACAGAAATCTTCATTGCCAACATCACTGGATGTACAATCACTATGGAAACACACCTCTAGCTGTGTCTGTGAGGGTGTTTCCAGGAAACTTCAACTCAAGAGGGAAGACCCAACCTGAATGTGGGGAGCATCATCCCAGACTGTGATCTTTGTCTGAATAAGGAGAAAGTGAACTAAGCACCAGAATTCCTCTCCCCCCCCCCCCTCCTGACTTTGGACACAACATGACCAGCTGCCTCAAGCTCCTGCCCCATGGCTTCTCTGTGATGATGGACTGTAACATCAAACTATGAGCCAAGATGAACCTCCCCTTCCTAAAGTTTCTTGTGTCGGGTAATTTCTCATAGCAACAAGAGAAGTAACAATGTGGGCACTCTGTTGTCAGGGACAAGAACAAAATCTCTAATTAGTGGAAAAATACAGACCCCCGATAAGACAGGGAACTAGATCATCTTACAGTCAGGTTGCCTAGCAACAGGACATTGAGTCAGAGCCCTTGACTCTTTCACCCTGTAAACATCCTATACAAACATCCTGTTAGCTTGCCCCATCTTATGCAGATGACGGCTTCTTGCTCCCCCCCACCCTGCAGGAACTATATAAACCCTCCTGGAGAAAAATAAAGTGGCACCTTGATCAGAATCTAGACTTGGTGTATTTCCTTGTATCTCCTGTCTCTACATTCCGTCCTTAGGGTGGTCGAGAACCCATTGAAGCCCTGCAGGTTGGGGCACTCTGTCTTGTAGAGGAGACCTCAAATCCAAGCTGAGAGCAGTTGGTTGTCCCCAGAACGGCTGTGCCACTAATGTATCAATTAGGACATCTTGCTAGCTTAGCACTGTAGTTCGGAGAGTTCACAGTTGAAGAAGACCATTGGTGCCTTTTCCTCCCCAGAAGCTGGCATAGCACCTTCTGACATCATGAAAACAAGTCAACAGGGAGGAAGCTTCCATCACAGTTCCAACTCAGTTTCTTTATACTCGGCAACTAAGATGAGTGGAGCCACTACCTTTGGAAAGTAGCTATGCAGAGTGCACTGGCCTGCACAAGACTGAGCCTTTCAACAGTCAACCATGGTATCCCTCCCTGTTGAACTATTGGGTACTGATGGATTCTGGTGGAGGGACAGTCATTATCTTCAACTGTATGCCCAACGGTGAGCTCATCAGACTCCAGTGGATAGTTCCAAATCTGAGGTCACACAGATGACTCTGGTTAAAAACAGTGGGTCACAAAACAGAGCAGGAAGACAAGGATGTGGCAAAGGAAGCTGCAGGGAAGAGTGGAGTGGTAAGCGTGTGTAGGAATGAAGAGACGTGGGAGGGAGCACACAGAATATGTATGTGTGAGACTGTCAAAGAACAAATTTAATCACTAGACATGAAGAAAACATAAAGGGGCAACAGATCTACCAACTGATTAAAGTATTGTTTCAGACTGCAGAAATGGCTCAGCAGTTATGAGCATGTACTGTTCTTGCAGAAGACTGGAGTTTAACTCCTAGTACCCAGGCAGGTGACTCACAAATGTAACTCCAGCTCCAGGGGAGATTTAATGCCTCTGACCTCTGCAGGCACTGGCAATCACAAGCATATAAACAGAGACACACATATAGAAATAATTTCGAAACAATAAAATAAATCTCTAAAAACATAAAAGACGTATCATTTTAAATATCTGCCAACACTTGTATATCCCAGGCACCTTTAGAACTCCCTGCTAGGACACAGAGGCAGGTAAGACAGCACAGTGTCTGAAGTTGCAGAAGTGAGCAGCAAAAGAAACTGATGCATGAAACTGATGAAGTCCAAAGCAGAACAGCAATGCCAATAATCAGTAGATAGGAGAAGGACAGGGATCTAAAAGGGACTCACACTGCAGCCTTGGTGAAGAGAGGTCCCATAGAGGATAGAATGCTTAAGGCTTGAAAATCCACATGGAAATTGCCAGGAGGAGAGGGAACATCTCAAACACAGAGGTCAGCGTCATAAGAGTGGCTATGGAGAGTGTGTTAGAGCTGGGGAGACACAGCCCGTGACAGGGTATCCCCGGATCCTGGGACAGTAATAGCTCAGTAAATACCCATTCACACCTTTGTTTAACTGGTTAACTAAAATCAGGGTTCTTCTTGATGACTTTATAGTAAATTGCATTGGCAGGATTAATGGGACTGAGATACATTGTGAAGGAACATAGGTATCTTGGAAGACTGGCAGACCCCAGGAGCAGTGAGAAAAGGGACAGAGAGAAGCCAGACTGCAATACAGTACTATAGAATGAATAAAACATCCCTGACCTGGTTTGAAAACTACCTAAAAAGACCCAATACCACTGTGAATATACTGTTTATACTATAAAGAGCCCTGGAGCTAGGGAGTTCACTCTATTTGTAAAGTGCTTAGTGTGCCCAAGTGTTGTGGAATATTAGTTGAAGATGTAGTACATTTGTTTATGCTCTGGAATATTTGTTTAATGATGCAAAGATGTGTTGCATTCTTTTATGTTGCATTTAATTAACTCTGTGAAGCTGTGTTACTTTGCCTATCTAAAACACCTGATGGTCTAATAAAGAGCTGAACAGCCAATAGCAAGGCAGGAGAAAGGATAGGTGGGGTTGCTGTGGGATGTTCTGTATGGTAAATGTGTTGCTCTGATTGGTTAGTAAATAAAACACTGATTGGCCAGTAGTCAGGCAGGAGGAAGTAAAGGCGGGACAAGGAGGAGAAGAATTCTGGGAAGTGGAAGGCTGAGTCAGAGACACTGCCAGCCGCCACGATGACAAACAGCATGTGAAGATGCTGGTAAGCCACGAGCCACATGGCAAGGTATAGATTTATAGAAATGGATTAATTTAAGATATAAGAACAGTTAGCAAGAAGCCTGCCACGGCCATACAGTCTGTAAGTAATATAAGTCTCTGTGTTTACTTGGTTGGGTCTGAGCTGCTGCGGGACTGGCGGGTTAGAGAGATTTGTCCTGACTGTGGGCCAGACAGGACCAGAAAAACTCTAGCTACATGGGGTGAATAGGCAGAAAGGATAAATAGAAAGTGTTAGGAGTGAGAAAAGGAGAAAGAGAGGAGGATGCCAGGGGCCAGCCACCCAGACACACAGCCAGCCACGAAGTAAGAAGGAAAGAAAGATATACAGAATAAAGAAAGGTTAAAAAGCCCAGAGGCAAAATATAGAAAAAGAGAAACAAGATAATGTAAGTTAGAAAAGCTGGCTAGAAACAAGCCAAGCTAAGGTCAGACATTCATAAGTAAGAATAAGTCTCTGTGTATTTATTTGGGAGCTGGATGGTAGGCCCCCAAAGAGGAAAAAAACCAACTACACCCAAGTTTGATCCTCAACACCCACGTGAAAAGCCAAGGGTGATGAAGTGCACTTATAATCCCAGCATCGGTGAGGCAGAGACAGGTGGAAACCTGTGGGTCATTGCCCAGCTAACCTAGCCTACTGGGTGGATCCCAGGCCAGTGAGGGACCCAGTGCCGGAAAACAAGGTACTTGTGCACTCATGCATGCATGTGCGCACACACACACACACACACACACACACACACACTCATGCATACATGTACTCATGCACACATACACATGAAGAACTCGACTGAGCTTCCCCTTAAAGAAAAACAAGCACCTGGGCTTACTGTCCTCCATGGCATGTCCCCATATTTATCTCCCTCCTCCCTTGTTTTCTCTGTCTCTGTCTCTGTCTCTGTCTCTGTCTCTCTGTCTCTCTGTCTCTCTCTCTCTCTCTCTCTCTCTCTCTCTCTCTCTCTCTGCCTCTCACTGCCATGGTCTGTGTGTTTAAGGAAAGAAAATTCCATCTGAACATTACCATCAGCAACACCCAATTGAGAATGTTCAATAAATTTCTCTGTGAAGGATGGTTGGGAAGAGTATTACTTAGCCAAATACTGCAGCAAAATGAAAATTGCTAATATATATCATGCACAAATTGCCAGTTTTGAAGGAATTAGTGCTTAATGAAGTGCTCATAATCCCAAGGCTCTATTAAAGATTTTTTAAATCTTTTTTTTCTTAGTGTGCATTTGGTATGATTCAATGCCTTAAAATTCAAAGTCCTCAGAATCTAGCTTATTTACCAGGGCTGTAAAAACTTAGCATTCGGATCATGTGACAAATTCCCATAGATGGGAATTTGATGGCAGTTATGAGCCTACCATGCAGTCCACATCCAATGGGGACATTGCAGGGTGAGCCAGGTCACACCTTCATGCGCTTGGTAGACATCAGTACCAAATATGACACCAGAAGAGGAGTGATGACCCAGCCTGCCCTTCCTCTGAGACGTCACAGAGTGGGAAGCAGTCTACTTTTGGTACTCTTTCTGACACACTAGCTCATTGTAATAAATGAAGAGAGTGCAGATACAGAGAAGAGAGAGAGGCAGAGACAAGTGGAACCCTGGGGCTTGCTGCTGAGCCAGCCTAGCCTGTTTAGCAAGTTCCAGACAATGAGCGATCTTCTCAAGAACCAAGATGGAAATTGGAGAGATGGCTCAGAGGTTGAGAGCACCTGCTGCTCTTACAGAAGACCCAGGTTCAATTCCCAGCAGTCACATGGTGGCTCACAACTGTCTGTAACTCTGGCTCCAGGGGATCCATTGCCTCTAACCTCTGTGGGCACCTGCACACATGTGTACAAGCCCACATGCAGATGCACACACCCACACATAATTAGAAATAAAAATAGAACCGAGGTGATGGCAATGAGGAACAACAGCTGGGGTTGTCCTCATGCATGAGTATTCACACACACACACACACACACACACACACACACACACACACACGGGGGCTGGGGGGGATGAGGGAGCATGCATGCATGCATCTATACAAGTGCACATACACACACACACAAAAAAAAAAAACCAGGAAGGCATGCATGCATCTACACAATTTCACATGCTCACACACAAAATAACAACAACAACAAAAGATGGTGCAATATTCATGCTGGTTAGAGACCAGGGATCAAGGAAGAGGCCCCCAGAGATTCCATCCCCCAAACCGGATCTGAACACACAATCTTACTCGGCTTCCTCATCCTCAAACTAACAATTACTACTGCTTCCATTTTTGCTTTGTCTTTTAAATCTTAAATCCCATTTTTGTGTGGTATGTGCCTCTTTAATTTAAAGAAAGGATAGCAGAATTTTGAGGAAAGCTAAGCCCAATAGTTTCACTCACTCTAGTCCCAGCCACATTCCCGCTGAATGACACTCACCACATTTGAAGTGTGATGCCATCTGCATATCTCAGGATCACAGTGGTAGGCAAGACACACAGACTGGGGAAAGATGGGCACTGGGGAAAGTCCACGTGATAGAACGAGGCATGTTGTGAGTACAGGCAGAGAGAGCCATCAAGGCAAGGAAGTGGGAGGTGCCAGCCACCATGATCTCTGGATGGTGTGAATGGAGCGGGGCCATCAGGAAACATACAAGTCTGGAGGGAAGAGCAGGCATGTGATTCTGAGAAGGAAGGGCAGGGGGTGGTGGCGGGGTCTGAGAACCTGCAATGGGAACAGTGAGGAACAGG